GCATGAGCACCATCAGGTGTTCTGGGATTCCCCTCTTCATCTACGGGAGCCCAGGGACACTCAGAGCCGAGCAGATGACCACTCGAGGTATCAGGCTGTGCGGTCAATGCCCGTCTCTGTCCCTGGGATGATCCTGAGGTGCAGACCAACTAGTCAGCACACTATCACAGGTTCAAGCCAAAGCCTGGTGCTTCATCCCACCCGGACCCTCCCGGCTCTGTCTGGGCATTCAGGAGGAGTGTGACGACGGATCATCATGGCTGTCCCCTTCTCTGACGTCCCTCCGGTCAGGTCTGAGTCATCACTCGGCTCTGATTAGTTTGTTGTTGTTGTTATGTGCCCTCGAGTTGCCTGCGACTCATAACGACCCTATGTACAACAGCCCTAAACTCCGCTCTGTCCTGTGCCAATCTCATTGCCTCTGACACACCCATTCCGATTACCCCAGTCACTGAATCAATCCACCTCATAGAGGGTGTTCCCCTCCTGCGCTGTCCCTCCACTCTACCCAGCATGATGTCCCTCTTTATGTTTGAAAAATCAACCAGATGCTTCTCCCCCAAACAAACAGGCCCATTTTCCCACTGGTCCATCCAGGGGCAAGCATGAGACCCTAAGATGGCCACAGCCTCGTGGTAGGAAAGCAAGGCGGGCATTTCTTAGAAGACCATGTGACCCCGACATAAACAATCAGAAGCCTCAAGCTCCCGCGCTGCTGGCTTGGCCGAGCTGTAATGATCACATGATTTCAGCGGGCCTTCAATGCAGGCCGTGGTGTTTGCGAGGTCCACCCGGTGTGCGCGTGGTCCCCACGGTGCCTCATGGTCCACAGGGCTCCACCCTCGGACATGGAGCCCACGCTCTGCTGGAATGAACACACGGTCTTGGGGAAGTACAGCCAGACTGCTTTATCAGAGCGAGGATGGTGAGACGGCACCACGTGAATGTGATGTGTCATCAGGAGAGGACAAGCCCTGGAGAAGGACATCAGGCTCGGTAGCACAGGGGTCAGTGAAAAGGAGGGAGACCCTCCAGGAGACAGACAGGAACGGGGAGGGGACAGGGCAGGGACAGGGAGGTTGCGGGGCAGGGACGGGGAGGCTGCGGGGCAGGGACGGGGAGGCTGCGGGGCAGGGACGGGGAGGAGGGACGGGGAGGCTGCGGGTCAGGGACGGGGAGGTTGTGGGGCAGGGACGGGGAGGCTTCGTCCTTTCGTGCATGGGACTTCCATGAGCCAGAGGTAGCTCATTGACGTTTAACAATGCCCACAAGAGGATTTTTTTAAAAATTGTTATTATTTTTTTATCTGAACATTTACAAATCATACTGATTTTATATTCATACATTAATTACAACTGGGCACCTCTGAGTTTATGAAATCAGACAGTATCGGCTGGGAGTGGCCTCAGGCATGACGGCCTGTTCTGCATCGCCTCATCTCAACCTTTAAGCCTTCTGGAGGGTTGCTAGTGCTCTGTTAACTTGCTTTCAATGCGTCTTTAAGGAGATTTATTGTGTATGTGAGGAATCAGAAAGTGCTTCAAACACCACCCAAACGACACTAAACCACAGTAAGGGAAAGCTGTTACTACGTCCTCACCAAGATGTGAACGTGAGGGGGCAGGAAACGAGGTGAACAGAAAAAGCAGCCGCAGACTGGCAGCACTGCAGACAGCCCCACACTGTGAAGAACGTGGCCAGCGGCCATCACAGGAACCTACCTGCTGCACAGACGTCATCAAAGCCACAGTGAAATATTTAAAACACAGCTCATTTTCAAGAATAAAAAGAAAATGCTGATTAAGAAAGAACCACCATCAAAACAACTATGAGATATTATCTCACCCCAGTAACAGTATCAAAATTTAACAGAACAGCAAACAATGCTGGCGAGGTTGTGGAGAAACTGGACCCCTTATTCAGTGTTGGTGGGAGTGTAAAATGGTGCAACCACTGTGGGAGGCAGTGTGGTACTTTCTCAAAAAGTTGCAAATAGAGATACCATTTGACCCAGCAATTCCACTACTGGGAATATACCCTAAAGAGACCATAACTGACATCCAAGCAGATATATGCACACCCATGTTTATTGTGGCTTTGTTCACAATAGCAAAGAGCTGGAAACAACCCAAGTGCCCGTCAGCAAACGAATGGGTAGAGAAGCTGTGGTATATTCACACAATGGACAACTATGCTGCATTGAAAAACAAGGAACTAATGAAATACTATACACAATGGGTGACCCTGGAGGACATTATGGTGAGTGAAGTACCTCAGTCACAAAAGGACAAATACTGCATAGTATCACTGTCGTAAAATGGAACAGACTCCAGAGTTGGGGGGAAACTAAGAGAGGGTAAATAATGTATACGGCATTGAAATAGAAGAGGGAGAGCACTGTTTAAAAGGGATATGTGATTAGGTATTATTGTCATGAAAAGTGTCCAGAATGAAAGCTGCATAGTGGAGTGGACTGGGAGGGGGGATTGTATAACAATGAAAGAATTTTTTTTTAACTTTTCAAAGAAAGTAGTGAACTGGGGGGCGGGGTGGCCAGGGGAGAAAGTGTACAACAACGAAATCCAAAGTCTCTGTAAACTTTCATTAAAATACATTTAAAAAAACAAAAAGAACCACCATTTTCTTTTCTAATTAGGAAAACATTTCCAATTTTTATTCTTAAAAATAGGAATCAAAATTGCAAAGGTGGATTTATAGTCATTTCTGAGTGAGGGGGTCATTGTGGAACGTCACAAGAAGGCTTACTCACATGGAAATCTAGTTAGACTGTGGTTGTTCCTCAGGTTGTGTTCATTCCTGCATTCTCTATCCGTTCTTCCTTGTATTTGCCTTTCTCTTCTCCAACTTGCCGAGATTTGGCTCTACATTCGAGAATTCTTTTCCGATCTTTCCCCAGTTTCAGCCTGGTGATGACCACCTTGCGTGGGTGAGTGCCCACATGCACAGATGTGCCGTTAGCCGTCTCACGCTGCACTCTTTCCACGTAGATGACAGACTTCTTTCTGTACACATGGACGACCTTGTCAATCTGCTGACCTTTGTAATGTCCTCGCACCACCTGGACCTCGTCATCCTTGCGGACAGGGATGGAGCACACGTCGTGCTTCTGCCGCAGCTCCTTGGAAAGAGGGGAGGACATGATCTTCCTGCGCACATGCGAGGGGGCACTGAAGTGGCGTTTGCAGTTCTTGCTGCGGTCCAAGTTAACGAAAGGGTTGAACTTCATGGTGACAGCCGTCCGGCAGCGTCAGGCTCTCCACGCGCCAGAACCACCGTTTTCTAACACAAATGCCCCTCCCCCTTCGCTGTCTACACAGCACTCAATCCCCTCACACCTACAGGGAGCGAGAAGAGCGTGTGAGAGATTTCCTGCTTAACATTCTTTAGTAATGAAATCCTGTCTCCACTCAGAAGTTGAATACCTGCACTCTTCAGTGGCCCCGCTGAGGGGCCCCACTCCTGAACTCTGGTGCCCCTTTCACTCTGGTCAGCTGTCTGCTGACTGGAGTCACTGGGTGTCCAGTGGGCACCACGACTCCCCTGCGTGCTGTCGACTCTCCGGCACACTGTCACGTGTCTGGGTACCAGGACTTCCCTGTGCGCCGCCAGGCATCCAGGGCTTCTGTTCAGTGTCCTCTCCTCCAGACTACATGATGAGGACTCGCCTGGCCTCCAGGAAGAGGTCTGGAGCGCAGTCCAGCGTCCAGCAGTCCTTCTCGAGGCCCTCCGGGGTGAAGGGCACTCCTCTGCCCTTGGTGAGCACTGGGCCCGTGGACCACGTTCCCTCTCCCAAAGGCCATGCTCAGCACCAGCCAGCAGTTCAGAGTGGACGAGGGGCAAGGTGGCAGTGGTCCTGGGCAGGGCGCAGGCACAGCGGCTCAGATGGCGAGTGTCCAAGGAGCCGGCCGCGTTTACAGAGGAAGCCAGCGGGGCGGGCACCGTCCACTCTGCTCAAGCAGGACATTCCACAGCAGAAACGCACACACTGGGGCCAGGGCTCAGGCCACGTGTCAGCTGGGGGACAGTCACGACCAAAGCACAGCGCTCCACCCAGCGCGGCCAGGAGGACATGTGTTCATTGTCCAGTCAGCACGCTGTGCCCTTTGGGCCGTGCATGGGGAGGCGCCGTCAGTGGGCAATGTCATCTACGTCCTGTGTCTGTCTGCCCATCTACAGGTTTACAGCCAGCTCAAACACACGCTAGAGCTGGACAACAGACATGGACGCCAGGAAGGGAATCGATCCTCGGAACTGCGGTGCTGCAGAGAGTGCAACGTGGTGTCCAAGGCAAGGACGGTGGGCCAGAGGCCGGCGCCTACTCTCACCGCGGAAACCTCAGCGGAGGGAGGCCCCACCAGGTAGAGGAAATGCACACGGAAACGCGGCTCCCGTGGCTTACCTGCCCATTTCCGAGGGGGCTGCCAGCCCCACCCATGGCCTCCTGACCAGCCAGGGCCTCCCCGGACAGTGAAAACTGGAGGTACACTCTGACCATGTGTGCACTGAGGACAGGACGCGGAAGAAAAGGCACAGAGTGCTAGGATTTACCCGGGAGGTGGAAGTACGGTGAGCGAGCCCCCAGGTCCCCCTGGACCTGTCAGGAGATGCACATGGCATGGCCAGGGGTCATCTGTGAAAACACAGCAGACCCCTGCACAAGCCCCTCCCCCTCGCAAACAGTCCTCCGGCCAGAGCTGACCGCGTCCAGGATAAACCATCATGCTGTCCGGGGCCAGGCACACGGGCTGGCCAGCTGAGAAGTACACACGTGCCCTCACACTGCCGACCGGCTGAGGGTCAGTGACACCTGGGTGGAAACTCAGTCCTCGGCTCCCAGGCCTCCGAGTCCGGAGCACTGCTGGTCACCGTCTCAGAGCCCGTGCGCCGTGGAGACACCTCCGGGAACGGCTGCTCTGGAGGTACTTCCTCACTTGTCCCTGACAGGAGCGGGGTCCTGGTGGGGTCGTGTCAGCACTCACCTTTGGAGGCCTTCCCAACAGGCCTCTTGGGGAGCGAGTCCTCTATGGAATGTGCTGACGTATGCAGGGCGTTCTCCAGACTGTGGGCCACGCCATGGACAGCGGTCTCTGTCCTCGGAGCCATCTGAGGGGCAGAAACACAACAACTTACTGCCCAGTCTCTGGTTAACAGGCACCTATCACACCTGTTTCAAATGAGATACTTGTCCAACAGTAATGTCTTCACTTGTTTCCAACTTGGATCGCAACAAGTATTTCCTGTGATAGACTCTGAGTTCACCTGTGTTCACAGTCCCGTCCCCACTCCCCCCAACTTACAGGCATGGTCCAGGGAACTGTACTGGGGGGTGCCCGGCGGCGGCTCCTGGGGGCTGGACCGGGGGATCCTACGCCCAGCAGTGAGCTCAATCACACACCCACATCTCTTCAGAGTGTATGGTTCCTACACCAGTGGTTGCTCCACAGACACACACACAGAACCCACCTACAGATGGTCTAGTCTGAAAACCCAGTGTTACACGGCAACTGTCCAAGACCACACCTCAAAAACCCACATTGGAGATGACCTGGCAAGGCCATGCAGGGCTGTGCCCCACAAAACACACTCACACGTGGGGGAGGGGTCCCCACAGGACAGAGGGTGGCTGCCCCACGGTGACCCCACAGGACAGAGGGCGGCTGCCCCATCGTGACCCTGCAGGACAGGACAGAGGGCAGCTGCCCCACGGTGACCCCACAGGACAGAGGGCGGTTGCCCCATCGTGACCCCCACAGGACAGAGGGCAGGTGCCCCACGGTGACCCCACAGGACAGAGGGCGGCTGCCCCATCGTAACCCTGCAGGACAGGACGGAGGGCAGCTGCCCCGTGGTGACCCCCACAGGACAGAGGGCAGCTGCCCCGTGGTGACCCCCACAGGACAGAGGGCAGCTGCCCCATGGTGACCCCCACAGGACAGAGGGCAGCTGCCCCACGGTGACCCCCACAGGACAGAGGGCAGCTGCCCCACGGTGACCCCACAGGATGGAGGGCGGCTGCCCCACGGTGACCCCACAGGATGGAGGGTGGCTGCCCCACGGTGACCCCACAGGATGGAAGGCAGCTGCCCCACGGTGACCTCGCAGGACAGGACGGAGGGCGGCTGCCCCACGGGGTTAACAGACTCTGACTCTTTACAGGCGCAAACGGCCTCAGCTGATGGGCCTGAATCTCTGACCATCACATTAGCAGACAAGTGCTTAACCAGTGAACCACCAGGGCCCCGTCTGCATACACACAGACGCCCAAAGCTCCACCCATCACCTCCTGCGTGTCCTCTCACTGCGTCCTAGGTCTTGGGAGGTGGGTCGCTGGACAGACAGGTTCAAGCTGCTGTGACTGAAGCCCACTTCCTGACTCTCAGCTGGGAAAGGGGAGGCTCAGCCAAGGCGATGAGGACCTTTCACAGATGGACGAGTGGTGGCAGCAACAGTGGCTCTGCACATGGTGGACTGGGAGGACAGTGCAGGGGAGGGCCAGGCCGCCATCCGCGGCAGTCGGCATGCTGCAGTCAGCCCCACTGGCCCTAACAACACACGTTATCCTGCCTCACTCTGTGAGAAACACTCTCATCAAGGGCGCACTGGAGGCCCTTGGAGCAAGACGCCGAGCTGCAAGGCCACAATGCGCAGTGCCTTTCCTCACCAACAGGGACAGCCGTGGTCAGACACCCTGCAGCTCTGAGGCGGCGTGCAGCCGGTGGTCTGCCCCTGGGAGAACTGCAGAGCCCACCCGGTCCTGCGCCACCCTCACCAAGCTGGGCTGGAGCCCGCGGAGGCGGCCTCTGTGCCAGCCCACAAGGAGGGCCTGCACCTTTCACTGACCACTCAGTGTCCTCCTCCAGGATGGGTCCTTCCTCACCGACAAGTCTCCTCATGCTCACTTCTTCCCAGACAGACGTGGCCCTTCCCCATCTTCTCCTCCAGCAGCAGGGGTCGAAGGCCTGAGTCTTCAGCCTTTTCAAAGTCCACCCACAGGAGGCTCGAGGACCGTGAGAATGTTGACAGTTTCCACTCCTCTCCACGTGTCGCAATGCCACTTACTGGTCCAGCGGTGAGGACTTGCGTTGTCTCTATGTTGGAGGTGTAACCCAAACTGAAGGCTGCAGCCGTGGATTTTCTGCAGCAAGCACTTCAAGTCCTCCTTACTTTCCGTAGGCAAGACTGCATCCTCTGTAGAACGTGGGTGTTAACTCTTCCTCCAGTCCTGATGTCAGACTTCCTCAGACTCCAGTTTCTCAGATCATCTGTGCAGCACGCAGACTGAGCAACAACGGAGAAAGGCTGCAGCCTGAGCATCTCTCTCCTGATTTTAAATCATGCAGCGTCCCCTTGCTCTAGTCAAACCACTGTGTCGAGGTCTAGGAACAGGTTCCGCAAAAGCACAAATAAAGTGGAATTCCCATCCTTTGCTGTGTTACCCATACTTCTTTATGATCCACACGGTTGGATGTCTCTCTGCAACAGCCAAACATGGGACACTGCTGGTACGCAGCCAAGACCCATCTCTCATCGACGTCCCTCATTCCAGATCCTCTTCTGAATCCGGCTTGAATTTCCAACAGTTCCGCTGGTACACTGATAGAAGCAGTTTTAAATGATCTTCAGCACAACTGTTCTGCTTTTATCCGATCACGTCTGCATTCTAGTGCATGACTCTGGGATGGGCAGATATGTATCTCCAGCACAGGGCTTCCAAGCTTCACAGCATGGAGGACTGAGGGCTTCCAGGGCAGCTTATCTGTTCAAGCATGGCACCTGGTAATTCCTAGAGCATTGTTTTCTGCCAAGGAACTCTGGTGGCACAGTGACTTAGCACTGAAAGACTGCTGGTGTGAATTCACCGGCAGCCCCACAGGAGGAAGATGAGGCAGTCTCTTCCCACGCTCTGTGTTCACTCTCCGTGGCTTCCGGGCAATCTGATTTCCTCCTCCAGTTTCTAGGTTCTGGCTCAGACGCTGCCTCCCAGGATGGGAGGGAATGGGGCTCTTGTAGTGGAGTCTACAGGGGCCTGCCCTGCGGACCGCTGCTCTCCAGGGAAGATGGGCATTTTCTCCTGTGAGGACCACAGCCTCAGACACCCAATGGAGAGTAGCTGTCCGTCCCAACCCAAGGCCCAAAAGCTGTTGCTGAAATAGGTGGGTGCTGACCTGTTCTTTTTTCCACCCAAAGCAGCCCCGAGGTGTGGAGCTCAAGGTTTCAATGTTGTCTTCAACTTCTCTGAGCTGAAATGCTGCGTGTGCGCTTGTCTTGGTTCTCTCACGGTCTGTGCACTGTGACAGCACTTCGTGTCCTGAGCCGCCCTCTGGAATCTTCTGGTAGCTCTGGCTTCCTCATCTCTTCCATTCACGATACAGTTAAGTGCACGTTTTCGTCACTTCTGTTTTCCTGTCTTTCTCCAACGTCTCATGGCTTTGCTGTCATCCCACACAAGTCACCTGGCCTGCGGTCACTGAGGCCCAATCCACCCAATCTATCCCCAGGCTGTCTCAGAATTCAGACGGGGTGGACACCAGGCCCCGCTTTGGCTGGAGAAGATCTGTTTGTGTTTTCTTCAACTTCATCTTGACCAACAGATGATGGCCTCTGGTAATCTGTACCTGTGGGTGGTCCTGTCCTGTCATGCGGTATTACACAGGGCAAGATGCGGAGGCCAAGTGAGCGCCTGGCTGCTAAATGACAGGGAGGCAGCCTGAACCTATCAGCAGGTCCAAAGTTATAGGCCTGGTCCCAGTAATGAGCACAGCTTTAAACCCGGGCAGCCTGGCTTTGCCACTTGGGCAGCTCACCGCCTAACACAACCTGTGTGTGTGTGTGTGTGTGTGTGTGTGGAGGGAGGGGGGTGTTTAGACAACACTCGGCCCCAGAGGGCGGATTCCTGGAGATACCTCTTGAGTGGATGGCCTCCTCAGTCACTCATGGGCCACATGCTGCAGGAAGCCACAGGAGACCACACCCCCCACGCCACCGGGAGGCCCTCCGAGATCCACAGCTTGACACCACACAAAAATCACTTGCCACAGGCCTGGATTATCTGGACGTTTACAGCCTGAGAAAAAGTACCGGCCCCCACCCAGGGCAACTCCAGAAAAATCAGCCTTGTCACCGTTAGCAAGACACGATCAAGAACGTGGCGTTTCTGGATCCACTCCCTTCAACTTGGCAGCTTCTTTTAGCAAATGAGAGAATATTCCAGAAACGATCTTCTTTCTCATTAAGCCACCTGGAACTACTGGGCACAGAAATATTTACTCCAAGAGCAGGATTTTCAGTCCCAGCGGTAAACATCACAGTAGGAGAGGGCTTGGGAGGTGAGGATTTTTCATCACGTAACGGTGTGGCCCTGGCCATCCAGCCTCACTGGCAGAAGCTCCCTTGGTCTCCAGTTGCCGGCTGAACAAGTCCTGGTCCAAGGCCAGTGACACTTAGCTGCCTACAACTAACTGAGGAAGCACTAAGCTGACCTCACCTGCCCCACCCCCAGACACAGATGTGATCCAGAATCCCTGCGCACACACTGAGTGCCCACGAGAACAGAGCGCCACCAGCCCCGACAGGTTAAGGCTGGAGGGCGGAGGAGAGGATGGCCCACAACCAGGAGCCCAGGCAGGGTGGACGGGGATGTGGGCTCAGCTGTGCTGGCACACTGGGGAACTGGGCCAGGTCCCAGGGTGCCCACCATCAGCATCCACGCTGCCAGGACCACCGGCTTTCCCAGGCCCTCACCTTTACGGAGAGGAGCCCTGGTGGCAGTCTGAGTCCCCCAAGCACCATGAGGGCAGACCGGGAGGCAGCTCCTCTGGCTAAGGTTTAGAGGCTGGGAAATGCGACGGCGGGCAGTGAGCACGATGGGGTTGTGGTTTTGTTTAACGTTCTTACTCCGACCGAGCAGCAGATGGATTTGAACCACCAACCTTTCAGCTGGTGGCTGCATCAACCCCATGGGCTTCTCCCACATTCCACTAGGCCTGGACTTGAGAGCTGGGACACTGGAGCGAGACTGACGTCCAGGCTGACTCGCAGTGACCTGGCAGGACAGAGCAGAACTGCCCTGCAGGGTGTCCAGGCTGGACTCTGCAGGGAGCAGA